CTATATATATATATATATATATATATATATATATATATATTTGTATTCAGAATTAAATTCAAGGGTGCTCGCTAAATTGCCAAAGCTGGCCTTGAACTTGCCATCCTCCTGCCTCAGCTTTGAGTGGCTGGGATTACAGGCGTGCACCACCATGTCCAGCTTGCCTAGCTGAATCTTGATTGCATTGAAAGCAGTAACCCAGAGGTTATGAGTTCTTGGTGTATCCTGTATAGTCTCTCCAAGTATTGAGTTTGAAAGGATTGTTTGCAGAAATCCAACACCTTTGTCCTCCCCACTCCTTAGAAGGGAGCAAGGGAAAGCCACACCCAGGTTATCTCTGTTACACAACAACATTATCTCTGGGTAGGCAGGAAGGCACAGTAGAGTCAAAGGGCCCAGTTCAGATCCCAATTCTGTCACTTTTATTTGTATGACCTTGTACAAACGATCTAACCTCTCTGCACTTCAATTCCCCTATCAATAAAATGGGATTAGTAACAGAGCAGTGCACACCTGCAATACCAGGTATTTGGGAGACTGAGGCAGGAAGATCACAAATTCTAGGCTAGCTTGGGCAATTTGGTGAGATCCTGTCTCAAAAATTAAAAGGGGCTAGTGGTGTAGGTCAGTGGTGGGGCACTTGTTTAGCGTGTCAGAGGCTTTGGGTTCAATTCCCAGTACCAAGCAAACAAACAAAGGGATTAGTGGTAACTTCAAGGATGATTGAGAGATTAAATGAGCTACTAGGTGGTGCCAAGTGCAGAGGCAGTATTTAACACAAACTAGTCACAATGACTTTTTTTCCTTTGCACAGTGTGGTGATGGATGGTTCTCATACTAGGCAAGCACTCTACCACTGAGCTACATCCCAAGCACCAGAGTTGATAATTATTAAAGCTGGGTAAACCAGGCATGGTGGCGCATGCCTGTAATCTCAGTGATTCAGGAGGCTGAAGCAGGAAGACCTCAGGTTCACCACAGTAATTTAGCAAGACTGCCACAGTCTGGCTGGACACAAATAACCGAGCTGCCAGGAGGCACTTGTAGGTTCAAACAGGAACTACTTTATTGCCCGAACTCTCACCCGCACTCCACGGGAACTCTCCCCGTCCTCAACCGGGCTCCTTGAGAACTCAACGGGAACTCAGCAGGAGCCACCCTATTGCCAGACAGCAGGATCCATATACAACTTAATACACAGCCCATTTCAATCCAGCATCATCCATTCACAGCAATTATACACAGCTTAACTTAATTATCATCATCTTAATGGCTCCCTGGCATCACCTCTCAACCACTCCTTCTGGTAAAATGCCAGGCCCCATTCCGACTTGGCTGTGGCTCTCGACACAAGACCCTGTCTTAAAATTAAAAAGGGTTGGGAAAGTAGCTCCGTGGTAGAGCACTTGCTTAGCGTGCACAAGGCTCTAGGTTCGATTCCCAGTTGGGTGGGGGAAGCATTTGAAGCTCAAACTCAGTGAACTAAGACTTTTGGAATTCCTTGAGAAAGAATGCCTCAAAACTCAAGAACAAAAGGTGATGGGGGGCTGGGTTTGTGGCTCTGCGGTAGAGCATTTGCCTAGTATGTGTGAGGCACTGGGTTTGATCCTTAGCCCCACATAAAAATAAATAAAATAAATGTATTGTGTTCATCTACAACTAAAAAAAAAATATTAAGGTGATCCAATAAAAATGACCCAAAGAATTAAATGGATACGTCCCAAAGGAAAACATGCAAATGAGTAGATAAGCAAATGAAAGACAACTCATCACCATTAATCACTGTGAAGGGTGAAACCTGTGGATGCCGCCCTACTCTCACTAGAACAGCTGAAATAAAAATGGCCACTGCCAAAGGTGGTGATGCAGAGTAAAGGACACCTTATTAGCGGTGTAAGAGTAAAAGAAATTGAAGTTAAAGTGTAAAAAAAAAAAAACGGGTATTGTAAAGTTTCTAAGCTGCAAAGCCTGAGTTAAAATGTAAAGGACCAGGTATTGTTAAGTTCCTATGCTACACCCAAAACCTGAAATTCCTGTAGCTGTTAGGACAATTCCCGGGACTGCCCAGTAGATATTCCCCCTGACCATTTAGTTGTTTAATAACCTAGGACTCTGTGCAGCTTGGCACGTAGGCATCTCAGGGCCCAAACCAATCAGTTTGAATGTACCCCCCTTCTTAGGATTGACCTATCACTCCCGCCTGACCTGTTCCCGCCAATGAATGTACTAATCATGTTTAAGAATTGTTGTTTGATTTTCCTGCGCCTCATGATGATTTGCTCTGATGTATGCAAAGCCCCCGCCCTCCCCAAAAAGTGTACTTAAGCACTGCTCAACCCCTGCTCGGGGATCTGGGCTGCTCTCCCTTGTTGAGTGAGCACGGAGCCCCAGCGCGCTGGATTCTCAATAAACCCCCTTTTGCGGTTGCATGAGTCGGTCTCTTGGTGGTCTCTTCCTCCAACGTTCGCCGGACCCTTACAGCGGCAGTGGGAAATATTTGTAAACATTTTGAATTGGCAGTTTCTTATAAGATTAAACACACATGGGCTGTGGTCGTAGCTCAGTGGTAAGGCGCTTGCTTAGCACATGCAAGGCACTGGGTTCGATTTTCAGAACCACATAAAAAATAAATAAAATTTGGGCTGGGGCTGGGGCTGGGGCTGAGCGGTAGCGCACTTGCCTGGCATGTGTGAGGCACTGGGTCCAATTCTCAGTAGCACGTATAAATAAATAAAGGTCTATCAAGAACTAAAAAAAAAAATAAAAAATTAATAAAATAAAGGTATTGCATCTATCTACAACTAAAAAAATAAATAATTAGATTTTAAAAAGATTAAACGCACACCAAATAACCTAGAAACCCATTTCTATATGGATTTTTAGTTTAAGTTTTTTTGTTTTTTGAGTACCAGGGATTGAACTCAGAGGCACTCGACCACTGAGCCACATCCCCAGCCCTATTTTGTATTTTATTTAGAGACAGGGTCTCACTGAGTTGCTTAGTGCCTCACTAGGGTGCTGAGGCTGGCTTTGAACTCACAATCCTCCTGCCTCAGCCTCTTGAGCTGCTGGGATTACAGGTGAGTGCCACTGGCCCACTGTTTGTTTTTTGTACCGAGTTTGAACCCAGGAGTGCTTAACTATTGAGCCACATCCCCAGCCCTTGCACCACCACAACCCTTGGATACTTAGTTTTTAAATGTCTTGCTAATTCTTATGACTTCATTCTATCATTATCCAATGTCTCAAGCCACCATATCCATTTGGGGTGCCGTTTATTCTTTTTTGGGGGGTAGGGATGCCGTTTATTCTTGTTGGTGGATTTAAATTTCTATTTCAGAGGGGTTGCCTAGCGCATGTGAGGCCCTGGGTTCAATCCTCAGCATCACATAAAAATAAACAAATAAAATAAAGGCATGCTGTTTATCTACAACTATTAAGAAAAATTTTTTAAAAAGCTTTAAAAAGTTTTTATCTCAATCAGGGTTGTTTTTGTTTTGGTTTGGTTTTTGCTAATCTTAGTTATTCAGCCAGTGAGACCCTATCTCTAAAGACCTTACTAGATCAACATTGTTTTTACCTATTATGTGGATGACCTTTGGTATAATAGAAACTAAAATTATGTGAATGAGCTGGTAACTTATGAGGCCCCATTTTTATGCGTCTCACCCCGGGTCTCTCCAGTTTGTATCAGATCATTTGCTGCCTTCTCTTCAACACCTAGCAGCATGCTGGGAACCTAATGCTATTGTTTATGTAAACAATATTGTTTATGTAAACACTTACACGCCAGCGTCTCCCTGTTTAAAGCTCTTTGCAAACCAAGACTCTGTCCCTTTCCATTTGCACCCAGGCTAAGTACTGTAAGTCATAAATGGCTGGAGCATTAAACATTTGAAGAATTGTTAATAAGGAAGGCCAGGTGTGTGTGAGTCACTCCGTTGCCCCTTAGTGGTGAAAATAGGAATTTCTCCTGGTTCTCCCATACCAGTTTGGCAGTATTGAAACATGCTGAAATCAAGATATTATCTATTCACAGGTTTAGAAATGTAGTAATACATAAGGAGAGAAATTCTATCTAATTTAGATATGTACAGTGATAAACTTTACATGCTGCCTGAGGCTGAGCTAAGACTGAGTGCTAAGAGTTACATGATTTAGGGTCTCAAGTTCAAGGTTAGCCTAAGCAATTTAGGGAGACCCTAGGTAACAGCCAGACTCTGTCTCAAAATAAAATATAAAAAGGGCTGGGGATGTAGCTCAGTGGTTAAGCGCCCCCTTGGGGCAATCCATGGTTAAAAAAATAAAATGCACCAAACTGATAGAAGAGTTAGACAACCCAAAAGGAGAAAGGATGGGAACTACCGGTACAAGATTCTCAGGAATCTTCTTGGGCAAACTGCTCAAGATTAAGGTTGTATGCGGTGGCCCACACCTGTAATCCCAGCAGCTCAGGAGGCTGAGGCAGGAGGACAGCGAGTTCAAAACCAGCCTCAGCAAAAGCGAGGTGCTAAGCAACTCAGTGAGACCCTGTCTCTAAATAAAATACAAAATAGGCCTGGGGATGTGGCTCAGTTCAATCCCCGTTAGCCGCCCTCAAAAAAAAAAAAAAAAAAATAGAATAACTAACGTTGTATTAGTTATCTGTCGCTGCATAACGAAACACCCCCCAAACTTAAACAGTTTAATATTTATTGTCTCCCAGTGTCCGTGGGCGAGGGTCGTGGGCCCGGCTCGTGGGCACGGTGTAGCTGGCTCCTCTTCTGGGACTCACCAGGGTCTAACCCACACGTTGGCTGGGCATCATTCTCACCTGGACGCTCAGATAGAGAGGAACTCCGGGGGGGAGACAGCATCTATCTGGCCGCACGGTGGGCGTCTTTTTCCGAGGTGGGGTGCCCACCCGGGCCCCCAGCGATGTCGGTGGCCTTTGTACCTGACTGGATGAGGGGCAAGGCGGAAGTCAATCAAGAGACTATCCAGCAGCTCCTAGAGGAGAATGACCAGCTGATCCGTTGTATCGTGGAGCATCAGAACAAGGGTGGAGCGAATGAGTGTGTCCAGTACCAGCATGTGCTACATAGAAATCTCATTTATTTAGCTACCATCGCAGATGCCAGCCCATCCAGTACTTCAAAAGCAATGGAATGATCTTTCAGTTGTAAGGAGTAATTGAATGTAATCCATCTCCTATAAAATGGAGACAGGATCTTTACCAACTCAACTGCTTAAAACATGAAACCTCTGGTTCTTTTTAAAATGTGAAAATGTGAAGGAAGCTACTAGTTTAACTACATTCTCAATGTAAATATTTATTTTTAATAATTAATCAGATCCCCCAGAAAGTAGACCCCAGGTGTCCTCTTTCCTGAAATGGGAGTGTGTTTGGATAACAAAGACATGATCATGGGCATCTTCCAGACTACTCTTTAGTTTCAGCCTGAAGAGGAAACTGAGTAGGTGTTGGAGGATCAGCAGGAATTGCTGAGACTTCTGACTGAGCCTTTGCCAAATGGATACAGTATCTGTGTGCTCCCATCCAGTTTGTAAATGTGTTCCCCCTGACCCCTCTTCTCGGGTTACTTTGAAATAAAGCTTGCTCTTCCACAAAAGAACGATATGAAGGTATAAATATTTCCAAGTAGAGTGTTGTATTTGGTTCCCTCAAAAATTGTAAGGATTTAGTAACCATAAGGTATGTAACAATACTACTGTTATATTACTACTGTTATGTGTTACCAACAAAATTAATAGTGATTCTTTAGTATTATCTAGTATCATCTGATAATAAAAGATGTGTAATTTTCTTTATCTCAAAAAAAAAAGAGAGGAACTCCCGGGCTCGCAGAGGCTGCAGACGAACCCGTTCGCGCCCGGCAGCGGCCTGGAGGCCCCGCCCCACGCTCAGAGGCCCCGCCCCGCGCACGCGCCGCCGCCGTTCGGCCCCGCCCCTCGCCTCCTCACTCGCGGCCGGCGCGGCGCGGCGCGGCGCTCGCTCGGCGGCAGCAAGATGGCGGCGCAACAGCAGCCCCGTGAGGGCGTTACGCAGCTGGCGGGGCCCGCGGCGGAGGCCGACCCCCTGGGCCGCTTCACGTGTCCCGTGTGCCTGGAGGTGTACGAGAAGCCGGTGCAGGTGCCCTGCGGACACGTGTAAGTGGGAGCTGGGCTGGTAGGGGAGCGCCTGGCGGGAGGGAGCCGAGCCGGGAGCGAGGCCCGACGGGGGCCCGCGCGGCCGAGCGGCGGCCCAGAGCGGCCCTCGGAGCGTCCTCCGCCCGCGGCGCCGGCACCTGGGCGGGACAGGGGCGCGGCGCTGGGGTCAGGACCGGTGCGCGAACTTGGCGCAGCGCTGAGCAGCCAGAGACGGGAAGGAGACCGTCGGCGGAGGCCGGGCGGCCGGGAGCTGTCGGCGTCCCGCTTCCTCCAGTGCAGGACCCGCGGCCTGAGCAGCGTCGGGGTGCAGACCGGGCTGCCCATCAGGAGCTCGGTGTGAGGGTGTCCCGCGCTGCCGCAGGCGCCGGGGCGGGCGGGCCTGAACCCGAGCCTTGCCCCGTCACGCACACCTAAGCCGAAAAATCGAAGAAAACCTGGCCACCTGCTTCCAGCTGCTCAAGAGTTGGCATTTTCTTCGTTGCCGCCCTCCGTGCTTATCACGGGCATCACCATGGGGACCCCATTACTCTCAGCAGACACAATAGGCACTTGTTGGGACACAGGGGCATTATTCCTACAGCAGCCCTGCTGCAGGGGCTGGGGAGGGGGACGCCGGGAACCATTTTACAGGTGCATAAGCTCAGGAGACTGAGACTCACTCGCATCGCAGGTGTCCTGTTTTGCTAGCCCCGAGAACCTAGAGCTTCGTGGCCACACAGGCTTTTTTGTTGCTTCAGGCGCGCTAAGCTCTTTCCAGCCTGGGGCTATTCCTTTATGCAGTTCAGTTAACCTGGAACTCTTGCCCCATTCACACCTTCCCGCCCCTGCCCCCCAGATCCTTCTCAAGCTTAAATCACCTCCTTCAGTTCTCTCCTGGAGCTCCCTGTTGCCCAAAATAGTTTCCTGGTGCCTAAGCAGAGTTCTGATTATCCAGATTCTAATCTTGCAGTCAACTGAGATGTTTGTATGCCCTGTGTGTGCCAGAAAACGCAAGAACATGATCCCTGCCCTCAGTTTACAGTCCAGTGAATTGATTATTTATAATCAATTCACTGGACTGCAAGTGGTTTAAGCCTGTGTGGGTAGGTATTAACATTTGTAAAAAAGATGACCCAGCACAGTAACCATCTGAAAAGCAGCGAAAGTTGAGTTTTCCTTGGGTCACCTGAACCTTTCCTGGGTAAGAGGGCAAGAAACAGTACCGGGATCCAAGCCTTGTCTCCTCTCCTCTGCTCACTGTACCAGCTTCCTGTGTTGAGCAGTTCAGTGCTGATTGAAGACAGACAGATGCACCTTGGTGAGGGCAGCAAAGGTGTCTCATAGCTCCAGCTCTGCTCTCTGCTTAGTTGATTTCTTAATTTGGACATCATGATAGCTGTGGCTTTGACGTTGGATTTTTAAAAAAAACAACTTTATTTTTAAAGACCAGAAAGATTGCCAGTTGCAGTGGTGCGCACCAAGTAATCCCAGCAACTGAGGAGGAGGATTGCAGATTCAAGATCAGCAACTTAGTGAGACCCTGTCTCAAAATAAAAAGGGTTGGGGAGGTAGCTCAGTGACAGAGCACCCCTGGGTTCAATCCCCAGTACTGAGGGGAACAAAGGAAAAGACCTGAATGATTGCATACACCTCAGTCAAGTGGTATTCAGGGGAAGAAAGGCTGTGGAAGCTAGGTGCCCAAGAAAAGGGATTTCTTCATAGCAGTGTGATAGAGCATTTGGAATGCTGAAACCCTATTAATAGGAAATAGAAACTGAAAGTCAACCCAGTATAGTTTAAAAGCAGCTTGACTGAGCATGATGATGCACAGCTGTGATACCACTGACTGGGGAAGCTGATTGCAAGTTCCAGAGCAATCTTAGCAAGACCCTGTCCCAAAAAGGGCTGGGAATGTGGCTCAGTGGTTAATTAAGTATCCCTGGGTTCAGTCCCCGATATCACTCCCCACACACCAAAAAAAAAAAAAAGGCTTGTTTAGGTATAACTCAGGTATAAAAGGGGCTTCTGAACATTTGATAGATGAGCTGTACCATGAACTGTTTGCTGAGGATAAACGGTTGGTTTTATCAATTTGCTTGCTGGGTTCTATGACCCTCTGTGCCCCCTTGAAGAGGCAGTGCCACGATGGCCATGAGGTCATGCTTCCTCTCCTACCTTGTCACTTGTGTTCTCTCTTTAGTCTGCTATGTCACAGCCTCAAAGATCTTTCTTTTTGCCCTTGAGACATGCCTTTGCATTTGGTATCATTTCAGATCTGTGTGTCTATCTTCATAATCAGGTTTTAGTTCAAATGTCACCTCAGGTTTCCTGTGGTTGCCCCAACTGATCTCTTTGCCTTGTTTTATTTATTTCATATACTTAATCACTATGTGAAATTGACATGTGTTTTCCTCCACTTTAGAATATAGCATCATGAGGACAGAGACTTTGTCTCATTTTCATTCTGCCCTCAAGCAAATGAGTAGGCCCCCTTACCTGTACTAGACTACCTTATACTAGCCTAGCAGCATTTTTATGTCCTGGGGGGCGGGGGGGCTACCAGGGATTGAACCCAGGTGTGCTTAACCACTGAGCAACATCCCCAGCCCATTTTTTATATTTTATTTTGAGACAGGGTCTTTTTAAATTGCTTTGAACCTGACTAAGTTGCTGAGGCTGGCCTTGAACTCCCAATCCTCTTGCCTCAGCCTCCTGAGCAGCTGGGATTACAGATGTGCACCACCATGCCCAGCATGGATGAAAAAATTCTTAGAGACACTAAAACATCATCAGGTGTACAGAAGGGTGCCTTTGATTATACATCCTGAGTGCTGACAGAATCTGTTAATCCTACCTTGAAATAAAATTGGAGCCTAGCATGGTGGTACTTGCCTATGGTCGTAGGAGGCTGAGGCAGAAGGATCACTTGAGCTTATATATTTGAGACCAACATGGGCAACATAAACCCCTATCTTAAAGAAAAAGTTGAGAATCTGTTACATTGGGTAAGTAACCCAGCGTATTTTCATGCCTTATTTCTTCTTCTTTTTTTTTTTTTAAATATTGTTTTAGGTGTCAATGGACCTTTATTTTATTTGTTTATATGCAGTGCTGAGAATCGAAGCCAGGGCCTCACACATGCTAGGCAAGTGCTCTCCCACTTAGCCACAACCCCAGCCCTTTATTCATTCTTTCTGTATACCGAATCTCAACATCACCTGCCTAAGTTTTAGGGAAGAAACTGTCATTTTTTTTTTTTTACTTTTTCAAATTCAGTAAGTCCTCAAGTCATACTGCCTCTAAATTGTATCCTGAATTCATTCTTTTTTGTCAGGACTTCACAGTCCCTTGCCTATAGTCATTTATTAGGTTTGTACTTTATTTCTTCCTATCTAAAAAAAAAATAATAATAAAAATAAATAAAGTTCTGTTGTCCATGATGCCCCAGAGTTGTTTTTCTGTAAGCCAGATTTGGTCTTTTTGCTTTGAACCTCTGGCTTTCTGCTGCTTCTGAGGAAGTTTATTAGACTTATCTTCTCAAGTGCATCATAAATTTTAAACCTAAGGGCCTGGAATAGTCTTCCCTTCCTCTGGCAGCAAAACTCTTTAAGGCTGATCACGGAGGCTACTCTGAAGTCTTACCAACCTTGTTCTCCTTAGGTTACAACTATTGTTCTTGGCTTTGTGTTCCCACAGTGCTTTGCTTTCACCTCTGACAGCAGTTCCCATTTACTGTGCATTTCTTTTGTGGTAGACAATATACTAAGGGTCTGCTATACATATTCCATCCTCCCAAACAATCCTAGAGGTAGATACTGCCATCTTCATTTCATAGAGGAGAAAATCACGTTTCTGGAAACGCCCGCCAAGTCCCTCAGTGGCAGGGGCTAGGGTTTGAAGCCTCAACATTATTGCGTTTTACCTGTGTCATGGTACTTCGTGTTTATTTGTTACGAGACCTGTGTGTTCTTCATAGTCTGCTGCTACCCTCAACAACAATTTTTCTGTCCTAGAAGATCTTAGTATTTTAATTGGGTGTAGGGGACAAATTGTTTTTAATCCATTATTCATTGATGTCCTTTTAAAAGTTTATCCACATTTGTTGTCTTGTCTCCACGATGCATGACGGAGGTTCTCTGTGTGTCTTGTTCTAGCTTTTGCTCTGCATGCCTGCAGGAATGTCTGAAGCCGAAGAAACCTGTCTGTGGGGTGTGTCGCAGCGCTCTGGCACCTGGCGTCCGAGCTGTGGAGCTCGAGCGGCAGATTGAGAG